GAGGACGGCCACCTCATTCCGGTTCGTGGTTGGGCATGGTTGCCGTCGTCCGGCCTGATAAATAGTGAAGCTGATGACCATGATGCTGGAGAAGAATCATAGGGCGCTGACCAAATCGGAGGCTGATGTAGTATCTGCAGTCTACCTGATCGAATACGTGGCTGCTGCTGCGTTGTATCGGAGACCAGAACCGGAGAATAACTGGCCTGGGGAACATCGCGAAGAAACGTCGGTAAGCTGCACAGTACCAAAACAGTCAATGGCAATGACCACGTGTTGTTCATTGTACCACTGTAGTCGGGTGATGTTCCAGCTGTAAACGTTCCAGATAGGCACTGTATACGTCAGGATAGTGTACTGCGGTCCAGCTCGTCAGTTGTAAGGCAGACGGCCGCGGAAGTGCTTCAACAGCCCACTCCAAGGTGTCAAGCGCTGGCAGGTCTGCCCAGATCAGTGTAGCCAGTTGCAAAATTTGCGCAGAAAATGGCGAAAATACAAGCTCGTCTGCCAATAAATCAAGCGCAAAAGCCCGGATATGCAGCGCAGAAGACAGCGGAATTTTGTAAAACCGTGGGCCAGCCAAAGAAGCAGCAAGCCACTGACCAGTTTGAAAAGAGACCGCGGCTGAATCGCACTTAACCGGAAAAAGAGAACAGGGGGTCCAACAACGCGCGCCCCACAGTCCCTATGGCAACGAGACACCGGACAGCCGATGCCTCCTACCCCGCCCCTACCTACCCCACCCACACTCACAGAAAACAACGCTAGAGCCGAGAAGCTTTCCAACAAGGCTGCCACACGTTGGCTCCATGTAGCACTAGGTGCAGCAGGAAGGGAGGCAGCGCAGCTTTGACTGCGCAACTCCGCAGTCAGCGCAGGATCCTCTTTGACAGGCACTCCTGTGTCCGGGTCCGGGCGAACCTTTCCCGCCGGGTCATAGAGGGCGCGTGGCAAGCCCGTAGTAGCAACCGGTGGCAACATGACCGTTTCAGGGCTGGAGTGACGTACCTCTGACGAGACGAAGTGCTGCAACCTCCCAAGCAACGTCTTGCTGATCGTGTCCGAGGCAATGGCGAAAAGGTAGAAGGCCCCCGGCACTGCGGTGACAAGCGGCTCCGATGAGCTGGCTTGGCCTCGACACACTGTCGCTGGGGGGTCGAAGGACATGTGAGTCCCGATGAGAGACCTGTGGTGAGTGGAGCGGAGCGCACTATATAGCCTTTTGGGGGGAGGCACGCCCACACCCTTGTGCTCTCGAAGACAGTAGAGACCAAACCGCAACGGTGTAGTGAACTCTGGCAGTCCGAAGACTGGGCACTCGGTGTCAATCACAGGATAGAACGGGCGTGCCTTGATGGATTGGCCACTAGGTCCACTGTGCTCAAAATCCACACCCCGAAGGAGGAGCTGGACCGGAACCGTCCATGCCACTGCGTGCAGCGACGGCTGTAGCATCGCAGAGCGGAGGAACGCGGTTCACGGACCACCGTTCATAGAATTCCCGGGCAGTCTCCCTATCCGCACGCTGTGGGCTTTGAAGTCCAAGCCTGGCAAGTCCGTATGATTGGTAGAGGTCCTCCCATCGGACGTGGGTGTGATGGAGGGAAGCATGCAGCTCTAATGCAGCAACAATGCCCCACCAATGGGAGGCAGAGGCGATGATCAAGGGGCCCGTGGGTCGTGTACTGCCTGCGGTGAGCCGTTGGTGGGCGTCTTCTCCCGACATGGTAAAGCGCCCCGCCCTGTCTGTAAGGCAAATGTCAACCGCCCGTGGTGCCCGCACACACTGTGGTGGTGAAAAGGTCAATGAAGGCTCCCAGTTCGTTGTGATGATCATAAAAGAAGGAGAAAAGGGATGCGGCCTGCTCCTCAGTGGCTAACTGCCCCGGAGGAGGGAGCTCCGGCAACCACTCGGAAATGAACTCCGCAAAGGAGGTGCCCTCAGCTACGACCCTGTGCGCGTCACCTGTGTCGGCGTTGGCAGGACGCGCATTGCTGAGGCCAAGACCATGCTTGAGAGAGTCAAAAACCCTAGTGGTCGGTGTGACAACCGTGATTTTCCGTCCTGCCTGAACAGCAAATCGATGTCCGCAGACGTTGTAAGCAAGGACCAGTAGGACACAGAGCAATTCCACTAAGTTCCCCTGGTGCATGGCCGAGGATGTCTGCTTCGGTAATCGAATGAAGTACACGCCTGGCTGATGAGAGCCATCGGCCGCCACTCGCTGCAGTCGCCGTGCGGAGGTATCCGCCGCCAATTCCCCAATGGTAATCGGGCACGGAGAGGCGTCCGTGGCCTTGTGCAGGACTATTGATTGCGGGTACCTGACGGGAGTGATGAGGAGATAAAGACCGGCCAGCAATCGGGTGGAGGCAACGAGGGCTAAGTTCAAGCAAACCCCGTTAATAGGGGCTAGGCCGGCTAGGCCTTCAGCTTGTATAGCCGTATTGGCCGGCGCAAGTATTGCGCCGACTGCCGACAGCCGTTTGAGGTAGCACAGGATCGCTTCGCTATGGGAAGCCGACTGGTGGAGGAAGTCCACCGCAATAGCCGCTGGCGTAAGGCGACCGGGGTGTGGACACACCCGATCACCCACCCTTGTGATGCCGGAATAAGGGATGAAGTATTACAGCCCTTGTCGGTTTACCCGGCAGCCACGGAGGTCGCGGAGATCCACGTCTAGTCCGACCTCAACTTCGGCCTCCACTCCAAAGAGGCATTCCGACAACTCTCGACATACTGTGAGACTGGTGCCCGGAGGTGGCTCGGCGCCCTGATGGCCAATGTGGCGATGTCCGAGGCTGGACCACCTCACTGTGTGAAGCGGTCCCTGCAGGGTAGACTGCACCAAGCCACGCAGTGCAGCGGCGAGCCGCCCTGGAGAAACCGGCTGCGGGGCCAGCTGAGCAATGCCGCGGATGCCAACGGGTTTGGAGATGAGGCGGGCCAGCGTGCGCGTTTGAACCTCACCTTTGCCGCCTCCAGCGGGTTGTCGTGGGTCGCCTGTGCGAATGACAAGCTGACCTTCCGCATTGGCAAGGATGGCAGCCGAGGAGGGCTGCCCCTCCTGTTGCCCCTCATCAATCACAATAACATGCGCACTGTTGAGGAAGGTCTTAACCTCACTGTAGGAGGCATATCGCAGTTGCAACGCAGCCGACCCCTGTGTGAGCAGCAGCATGTGAGCGCTACTGACCGAAGGGGAGGGCAAGACGCGCGCTGCGCCCCGTTACCTCGGGCTGAACCGGCGATGTCCCCAAGCCCTGCCGCTTGGTGTTCAGCAGCCTCGGTGAAGGGCACATGGTCAAAACACGGGTCGATCATTTCAGCATCGCCGGAGACCCTCCGCACAACAACGAGCGGACGCAGCCATTCTGGGGCATCGGCCAAGAGGTTGGAGGCGATACGCACGACTGCAATGAGCGCTGAATGCTGTTGAGCTGTCCAAAACACAGTTTGCTCCAACACAGTGTCCATGCAGACCAGAGCGCACCACAGGGAAAAGGTTTTGGAAGAGCCCGCGCACCCCAAGATGCTAAGCGAGCTCCGTCTTTGTGCCCGGGCAGCCAGGATGGCCGATATGTGTCCACTCAGGAGTCCGTCCGGACTGTTGAGCAACTCATCGATATGTCGACAAAAGGTCTCCCCCATGAGGGCAGCCAAGGTGTGCAACTCGGGAGGGATCAATGCCGCAGGCAATCGCCAGTTGTTGCCGAAGGGATCCCGGGGATTGTGGCGCTCCGCCACTGGATGAAGGGCCCGGATGCGCTTCTTGAGTGCGACAAATTCGGCCGGCGTCAAATTTGGGGCAGCTGGAAAGGCGGCCGTCTCCACGGCTTGCAAGAAAGACAGCACAAGGTGCCCCTCCGCAGCGAAATGGCAGCGGGGTCTCGGCGCAGGCTGGGTACGCGGCCGGATGGGCATGCCTGGCCAGTGGGACACGCGCCGCAGGCATCTTCAGCACTTGCAAAAAGACATCGAGCGCCCCCCCCACTTTAATGCACGACAGGCTGCGAATGGGAAAGATCCCAGCTGCAAACGTGATCAGGTTGCGGGGGGGCCCCAAGGAAAGAGGGCCACTGGCGGATGAGCAGGAGGGCCGCCGTGGGGTTGAGGCGGTGTTGGCGTCGCTCTGCCTTGCGTTGCTCGAGGGTTTTTCCACGGAGCCTGTCAGGGACTACCAGTTCTACAAAGCCTGCCAGGAGTTGCCCTTGGCGAAACTCTAACCGCAGAAGACAACCCGCGGAGGGAGGCCGGTTACCGCTTTGACGATGCGAGAACCAGCCAGTGTTCTGCAATGGCGTGAAGCCATTGGGACACGACAAGCCAAGCACGTATGTGCCAAAGCTGAGACAGTCCTTCGCCTTCAGCACAATCGGTAACGCCTGCTTGACAGGGCGGGTGGGTTAGTATATGGTTAGTGCATATAGTAGTTACATAGAGAGGTTAGTTCGAGGTTAGCTAAGTCGAACTTGTTGAAGATATACAAGCGAGCTAAGTTGAACATAGCTAACTCAAATCGCATACTTAGCTAAGTGACTTAGGCATCGTTGTGCATAGCAATCTCGTGCATGCGGCAAAAGCATGCAGGTCAAAATCAGGAGCATGTAGTGGCAAAAATATACAAGGAGCCAAGGATCTGTGCAAGTCTTTGCTGGAAACAATGTGCTATTGACACTGCAAGTTGGCCAAAAAACAATCATGTATAGTTGTGATTCCGTGAGCAAAACTGTATAAACTAAATTTATTCACCAGCCACTCGGCTGCACAATTGAAAAGCGAATCGGCCTTTTCAACAACAACTCTGGAAATTAGACTCATGTAGCATCTGTATATAGACACCTTTATACCATAAGACATCCTGAAAATATACACCCATAAACCACACACCCCATACATGCATACATACGTCTATATGTATATGTCTACACATCAAGCGAAACAATCATGAACTCGCCGTGCAGGGCAGCTTGCTCGCAGGCAATGCACCCGTTTTTTTTCAAGGCACAACCTGCACTTTGTCGGCCCCCAGTCTTTTGACGAGGCATGCCCTCTTAATGTCAACCACCTGCATAAATCGGGCATCGGCTGCCGTTCTCTTGAAAACGTTTCGCCCACATGCTTCAAACTCGGTGAGCAAAGCCAGCAACTCTCCAGTTCCCAACCTGCAGAACAACCAGGCCTCTGCAACTCCACCGGCTTTCAAGATCACGAAATCGCCTTTTGCGCAGACTTGCCCCGGTGCAGCCTGAACACGAGATGAGGCCTGTGCATTGTGAGCACCTGCAAGGCCGAAGGTCTGAGCGAGCACTCGCAACAGATTTTCATCTGCCAGTTTTGGCGAGATGAGATGGGCTTCCATAGCAAATGCAGGTCCGCTGGTCATTGCCATCAGAAGCTTGCCTAGACCTTCCTTCATCATCGATGCCTCGTACCATGAGCCCGGGTTGTTCAGATGGTTGGCCAACTCCTTGATGGCCCTGTGTTTTCGCTCGTGGGTGAAACAAGAAACCAATGTTTTCTTTGCAGCAAGCATCATCGGCAAGTGCATCGAGTAGTGCAGCTTCGGGATCGCACTCTCGGGTCCATAAGTTTCCATAAACCCCTGACAGTGTTGGGTAATGAGCCTCTGCAGTTCTGCTGGGACAAGCACCTGGCCACGATTGCCTTCCATGAGCATGTCAAGAACGAGACACAAATTGAGAAAGGATTTGCAAGCTTTCTTCACCTCTGCACTGATGGCCCCGGGAGCCAGGCTCAGCACGTATGCTCGCAGCAAAGGGTAGCAGTTGAGGCACTGGGAGGCACTCCCCTTGAAGCCCTCGCTCTTCTCGATCTTCTTCTGGAAGCACTGCGGGGTTTCCTTGATGATCCCCTGCTGGCTCTGAGGCCAGGTGAAGGATTTCATGAAATCCAAGATAGCCTCCGGTGAGCAACCTGCATGGTATAGTTGTGGTAGAAGCATGCCAGTTTCTAGGTGAAACAATCCATGCACGAAATAGATGTGCATGAAGTCATACATGCATGTTTGCACCAAGGGCAGACTTTTCTTTGCAATAACACCCTGCATGTTGAAATTGATTCCACAAGCCTTCTGCATCTGCTCGAATTGTGCCTGCGAGCATCGTCCATGCATAGCTTCCATCTGTGCATGTGCCTGATATATGTCGTCGTCCGTCTTGAAGATGAAGCGACGAACATCGGTGCATGCAATCGTACACAGAGAACCAGAGGCATCGTGCTGCTCCACTCCAGTCTTCCCCACGACGTTGGCACACAGACCGCATGGGAGAATACCTGAGGCCCCCTTTATGTCAAAGACTAACTTGATGGCACCTTCGTCTGCAAGGAACGTGTCGATGCGAGCAAAAAACATTAGCCTTTCTCCACTGGGCAGGGTGAGCAAGCATCCATTCGGCAATGCTGCGAAGTCAGGCATGGTGACGATGGCATGGGTTAATGCCGAAAGGCCCCCGACCATCTTGTTGACCAGCTGGCTTCTGCAAAGGCAGGTGCAATACCATGCCTCCTCTTGACATCTAGCCTCTGGTCCATACTCGAAGAAGCTGATGTAGAAAGCATGGACTTTCCGCTGATTCGTGGACCGTAGTTGGTTCCCCGGAGTGATCTCGTCACAATATAGGCACATCCGCCATGCCTTCTCAGCCGAGCTTGGCAGTTCTGCACGTCGCCTCGCGAAGAATGCTGCAGTGCCAGGGTGCTTGCAAAGATGTGCCAGAAAGGCCCGAATGTTCAGGATCGGTAATGACACCTTTGCAACTTGCTTTTTCTCTAGCACATCCACTTCAATGTGGCTCAGCAAGTGCCCGAAGTCGGTCTCCACTGCGACCTGCTCATCCCGGGCTCTCTTGATGCTTCTCCTGCTCGTGCCGTCATCGTGGCCAAGGTCTTGCAGGACTGATTCTAGGGCAGCCTGCGAAACGAAGTGCCGTCTGCCCAACTCAGCCAAAGGAACAGCCATGATGTTATTTCCTGTGTTATATGTGCTGCTTGCGAGCTCCAAAGCCCTGCAAGCGGAATGGTATTATGTGTGTGCATATTCTAATACATATATATATATATATATATGTGTATAAATAAAAAATATCTATAGAAACAAAGATTGCAAGGTCTTGTGAATATGCATGTATGTGTGTATGTATGTCTGTATGTGTGAATGGATCTCTATCTATTTGTAAACATATCTCTATACATTTAAATATGTATATAGGTGTATACATATACATATATACACCGATACATATGTGTATACATAAACATAAACATGTTCATACATATATAATATAAGAATATACAGGCATACATATATATATATATACATATATATATATATATATATGTATATGTATATACATATATATATATATATATATACATATATATATGTATATATAGATGCATATACATTACATATACATACATACATACATGCATACATACATACATACATACATACATACATACATACATACATACATGAAACATACATACATACATACATACATACATACATACATACATACATACATACATACATATAAACATTTCTACATAATTACATCTGTACATATCTACATACATATACATATATACATATACACATATATATCCATACACATACATATATATATATATATATATATATAGACAGTACATACATCTACGTGTATACATACATAGATATACAGACACATATACATACCAGCATATCAATATGTACATCACACAGAATGCTTCGATGCATCACCGTCCCTGCAAAGCTGCAAAACTTGACTGTGAAGCTCATGCATGCCGGCAGAAATGCAGCACGACACAAGTTGACTGCAAAGCTGATGCATGCCGGCAGAAGTGCAGCACAAAACCAATGGACACGATCTTTTCAAGCCCCCATGATGGCGATGCACTTTCAGGCATTTGCGAAGCAGCTCGGAGTGCATCCCGGCCCCCGGTCGACGACGACACTTGCTGCACCCCTCCGGCCTCAATGCCACTCTCTTCGCATAGCTCAGCTGTGCATAGTACTCACGGGTTGGCCGTGCTGTGCCCTTTGGGCCTTTCGATTTCGAAAGTGCTGCGGGCTTCTTCATCACGGGCATGGCTTTTGCCTTGGCTGCCTTGTTCTTGGCCTTCGCCTTGGCCTTTGCCTTGGCGGGCTTCTTGTTGTTCTTGCTTTGCAAGGCATCGGCGACTGTCTGCATGCACCCCATTGCTGCAGTTTGAGCCTTCCCGCCGGTGGCAGTGTTGTCGTCCTTGTTCTCCTGCTCTGCTGATGGGTCGTGGTTCTCTTCCTCCTCCATCTGCAGCTGCATTCCTCCTGCATTTGTCGGGGTGTTTGTCAACGGCAAAGCGCCTGCAGACGTGTTCCCCGAGGTGGGGGCCCCATTCGCGATCGCTGCTGCGCTCGAGGAGGACGGGCCACCATTACCAATCGCCGGCAGGGTCTGTGGGCCCGTGCCTCCATTCACCTTGTTGGTGCCCGGAGTGAAGATCTGCAGCCCAGGCAATCCACCCTGTTGTGTTGTTTGACTCTGCATTGCCTGGATGCACTGCAGCATCCCCATCATGGTGTTCATGCCGCCTGCAGGGTTCATGAAGTTGGGCATCCCTGGGAATGCCCAGCCGGATGATCCACCCATGTTCGTGCCCATGCTGTCCCTGACCGTTTTGGCTGACTTCCTCACAAACAAGCCATGGGCAGACGAGGCGATGGCATTGGGGTTCTGACTTGCCTGGCTGCAAGGGGGGTCGTCAGCATCGTAGGCCTGTGCTGCCAGTTGCTGATCGGCTAGCTCGGATGGGCCACCAGCAGGATACACGAGGAGGTGGGTACCCTTGACCATCTTCTTGTCCTTGGCCTTGAGCAGCTTCTTGAAGGTCTGGACATGGGCATACTTCTCAGCCTCGGTCCCCTGAAGCTGGAGGGTTGCCATGATCATCCTCACAGACCCCTCCGAGGGGCAGCTGATTCGCAAACGGAAACACCGTGTGGCGAGGATGTCTATCTTGCTGTGCAGGTTGACATCGGGGCTGGAGAGCTGTTGCATGTCCTTGCCCGAGAGGTACGGCTGGAAGCTGGCGATGTTCTGCATACCCCTTTTCGTGCCCTTGGCTTGCCCAGTGGAATGGGCCGCCACAGCAGTGCTCAGAGCCTGGCTAAACTTCTCGGTTTGCACGCTTGACCACGGCCCTTGTTGCCATGCTGCCATGATGTTCGTGCCCTCCTCGGCTGTGCATTGCAGGCCTTGCAATCGCTGTGACAAAGCTTGGCATTGTGTCTCACGCACACCAGCCAAGCAAGCATTGCCCTGCATGGTCTTTAGAAAGGCAGTCGTGGACTGGATGTCGCCGGTGAGCTTATCCACGGCAGTGCTTGTAGCTGCAGGCATGGCTCTGTAAATATCCCTATATATACAGATCGGCTGCCTGCGAGCTTGAAGCCCTGCAAGCGATGGCTCTGAGCTACAAAATGACTGCAACAATGTACATACAAACCTGCAACAACAACACTTGCAATGCTCATGTCACTGCATGTCTCGACATGGTCCACTGCATCCCTGCACGACCCGTGCATGCACACAATCCACCCACCCCCGGCCACCGACCCAGCCCACCAGCACCCACCCACGAAGACCCACCCACCCATGCACCTGCACCCACCCACCATGCAATGCACCCACCCATGCCCTCCTCAGTCTGTTCTTTGCCTCCGGGTTCGTACTTTTGGTGTTCCCGGTCTTTGCTGATCTTTCTCTCTCTCTCTCTCTCTCTCTCTCTCTCTCTCTCTCTCTCTCTCTCTCTCTCTCTCTCTCTCTCTCTCTCTCTCTCTCTCTCTCTCTCTCTCTCTCTATTCACTGCCTTTCTTTCTGACTGCAGGCAGGGCTGAAAGCTCGCCAGGGCAGGTCACACCTTTCAAACTCAACTTCGCTTCGCACGATTTCCAGGGTGAGACCAAGCCGGGGTCGGGCCAATTTCAGTGGTGCTGCTGCTGTTGGTGTTGCTGTTGGTGTTGCTGTTGGTGTTGCTGCTGCTGTTGCTGGTGGTGGTGGTGGTGCAATGGTGGTGGTGGTGCAATGGTGGTGGTGGTGGTGGTGGTGGTGGTGGTGGTGGTGGTGGTGGTGGTGGTGGTGGTGGTGGTGGTGGTGGTGGTGGTGCAGTGGTGGTGGTGCAGTGGTGGTGGTGGTGCAGTGGTGGTGGTGGTGTGCAGTGGTGGTGGTGCAGTGGTGGTGGTGCAGTGGTGGTGGTGGTGGTGGTGGTGGTGGTGGTGGTGGTGGTGGTGGTGGTGGTGGTGGTGGCGGTGGTGGTGGTGGCGGTGGTGGTGGCGGTGGTGGTGCAATGGTGGTGGTGGTGGTGGTGCAATGGTGGTGGTGGTGGTGCAATGGTGGTGATGGTGGTGGTGGTGGTGGTGGTGGTGGTGGTGCAATGGTGGTGGTGGTGGTGCAATGGTGGTGGTGGTGGTGTTGTTGGTGGTGGTGGTGGTGTTGTTGGTGGTGGTGGTGGTCCTGTGGCTGTCGGTTTTGTTGTTGTTGTTTGTGTTGTGGTTGTTGTTGCTGTTGTGGCTGTTGGGCCGGAGCTCCAGGAAAGGACTCTGCACGTCTGCAGCCGACCTTCGCTCACCCATGGAGGCAGGACCTGCAGGAGACCAGGTGGAGGCACAGTCCAACGGTGTTGCACAGACCGGGGTCCAGACCCGGAATGCAAAATGTGCAGACGGCACTCCGGTCCTGAAGGACCTTGTTCCAGGATTCTGCCGGCAACTGGGACCCACCATCTAGCTTTTCACAGGAGCTGAGACCATGGCTTTCGGTGGTGAGTCCTGGCACATGCAGTGGGTTCAGCACTAGAGAAGCAGCCAGACACAACACAAACCAATGCAATCAAAAGCACAGGAGTTTATCAATTGAGAAACGGTTGGCGGGCTGGGGCCGGAAAATTTATCAATTGATAAACCGGTGGCTGGGGCTTATATAAACTGAGCCAACGGTTTCTCAATTGAGAAATTCTGCGGGGTGTGGGGGCCAACCGTTTCTCAA